TCAACCCTTTTCCGCTAACGTTTCAAGGGATCCAGGAAACTGAAAACATTTGGTCTTCGAGTAAAAGCAACTTCTCTCTAATTTGTATTTAGCTAATCGATGGGGTGATATTGAATGCCAAATTCAATAAGAAAATGTTCATTGCGCTCGTGTTGATGAACGGATGGGGAAAGAGTGGAAGATGAACTGACCATAGTTCCAATTAAATTAAAAAATATACTACTATTTAACAATTTTAGAAAACCAGAAAAGCAACATTAAATCGTGATTCCGAGCCGTACACAGATCCACAGGTTTGCTTCGATCAAGTCTTACCAGGGTTCTGCACAGAAGAAGATGTGAAATGAAATGAAATGAAGAAAATCAAGATTGATGAAAAAAAAAATTTTACAATGGATCAAATCAGAAAAAAAAACCGTGTGATGAACTTATTTAAAACCTGGTATCAGTTTTTGTCACAGAATGTTTTCCACTATCCAAATGGTGCAACACAGACGTAAAAACAACATAAATAAATGTCATACTTATCGTTTTTTTCCTCGGAAAACTAAAAAAGATATTTAAAAGGGAGCAAATGAAGAATTCAGTTAGCTTGAGTTTGAATCTCAGCACACCATTACATTTATTTCTATCTATTCTTTATCGAAGGTCTTTGGTTGGAAATCGTTTATATACAGTTGGATTTCAAGGCATAGCAAAGAACAATGAAACTTTTTACCTGTGTTGGAATAAATGAACGACCGGCAGCTGGACAAAGCATTGACCCAGGCCGACATCTTTTCAATCCTTGAACTGGTTGGCACACAAACATAAACATGAAAACTACCGCCACCCGGTGCATCTTGATTATACTGTGCCTGCCTATTTGTGAATTAAACAAATTTTACTGAAAATGTAGGGAAGCTACGAGGTAAACTTCCTGAACGAAAATATCGCTTAAATGTGACCTTTTTTTCGCACTACCTTTATACAGTGGGGAAATTGTGAGATCTTACTTCTTTAAATATAGAAACAAATAAAATTTTGCCGTAAAATATCCCAAATGCGGACAGATGATTGTTAATGGATTCACTTTTGAGGCATTCTTTAGAACAGAACCGAATTTCCGTTTCCCTGTTTATCGAACAATGCGATTATCGAATAGTACGCTCACGTTTAAATCAATTGGTCGTTTTCTGCAAGATGGATGACACGGGAAGTAATTTAGCTGTGTAATTAACGTATGACAGGATAATCAACCAAATTTCCTGTTCTCCTGACTGAATAAAGCGATGTTATTGTAATATACAGTCTGAGCAATTAAAAGGTATTCATCAGAACGTGTCAAAGTTCGATGTCTCAGTGATATTAACATCAAAGTTTAATAACGTCGTTTTACCACCCTCGAACAGTAACGGTTAATTTTGTGGGTAATTATTGCCAAGAGAGGCCCTTCTTTTAAAATGTAAATTTTGATAAGATGGCACAATGCATGCACTCTGATTACTTTACAGTTTCTCTGCTGCATTTTACTGTAATCTTAAGAACTGTAATTTTTTTTTTCAGGAACACCTTTTTCGCACCTTTATTAAAGTCTATTTGCGTTTGCGTCCCATTGTAAGTGCCTAATACTCATACTGGAAGGCAAATGGCGGCTATAAATCATAAAAACAAACACTTCATTCAAAACGGTAAAATACAATTTTCAGACGACAGATCTGTGTTGTAGATACTTTCGAGGACAAGCATCTCGGCGGCAGCTAGGAATTACACATCGCTTTAATGTTGATCAATACGATATCCGGTACAAAAATTTGTTGATTTCCCAAAAGTAAAATATTGAAAATAAATTAAATATTTTCAGGTTTTTCTTTGTGATATTTTCGAACCAAGTAGCACCAAATGTGAATTCCCATAAACGAAGAGGAATAATCATATGCATATTCAACTCTTCGTTAACTTTTATGTCGCTCCTTGTAAAAATTGCAAGGATTTCAACCACCCATAATTAAGATTTTTTTTTTGGTAATACCAAACTTTATCTCTTCGAAGATAACTCATAAACCGGAATAAGATAGGAAACGAAATGACGCAAGGATCCGTCTTAACCAGTGTAGGCCTATTTCTGTTAAACGACATTTATTATAGCTTTATTTCTTTCAAGCGAGAACAAGACAAGTAAAAGAAAATAAAGATCCAAACTAGATAAACTTGTAAACCTTATTATGTTTTTCCAGTACACATCGTAGTATATCCAAAGGAGATAATAATCGATAAATGTAGACTGCGACTTTACATCACATCTCTTTCCAGCTCTTATTTAAGTTGCATCTAAAGTTTATTACGAAGTCGGTCTCCTCAAGTACTCCCCGTGTTTTTTTAGGTTACTTCCGTGATAAGATAACATGCGGTGTTAATAAAAAAACCATTGTTTCGACTTTGAAGCCTAAATATAGCCGATAAAACGAAAGCAATTAGCAAACTTCTCTCCCTTTAAAAATTAAATTGATTTTTGAGTTAATTTCCTGTACTTAATGTGTACCTGTCAGTCTGAGAGTTCACAAAGGCCGAATGAAAAGAAAAGTAAAATGACTTAAATTAGAGTAAAATGTTAATATCACTCTTTAGAACTGTTTTCGAATTCGCTACGAGGGTGAATGATTGCTCTCAATATTAAATATATGTGATTTCTTTCGGCATGATACGAAAGCAATATGTCAGGCCCAAATGTTTCTCGCAAGAATTGAATTTGTCTCTTAGCCTTAACCTACAATTCATTCTTTTTTGACCCGGAAAATATTACCAATATTATCTTATGCACCCTGGAATACTGAAAATAGGAAAGAGACTCGAAGTAAGGAAAAACGACTAATCAAACCTTACCAAGAATTAGTCGGCCAAATCAGTCTATTTGAACTTACATAATCCAAAAAGTCTTTGTTTACGATAAAGACTTTTTTAAATATATTTCATTTTGTTTTTATGCCCGTGCTCTGAATTGTGACTCATTATTCAGACACCTAGCTTTGGACGATGAACTTAAACACTGCCTTGTTTGATAACGTTTTATACTTTACAGGAAAATGTTTTCAAACCAAATTTTGCCGGATCAGTCTGTTAAGTTCTTTAACCGACTGATCCGCTTAATCTCTTGAGAAAACGTAAGCAGCTTCCAATAAATTTTGTTACGCTCTCAGTATATCGTAAATTTATCGTTAAGAACAAGATTAATCTAAATGCATAACACATAACAATTATGAAAAAATAATTTGCCAAAAATATTTTGCTTTAGTTTTTGAAAAAAATCAAAATTGCAGGTCTACTGACCATTCAAAATAGTAGCAAGGAGATTTTAGGGTTTAACTAATATGACATCAAAAATCCCTCTCATTTACATGGCACAACTTCGTTAAAACACTGAGCTGGCCAGAAACTGTTTCTAACGACTGCGTTTAAAAATAATGGTTAAAATGATAAAAATTTAACCCTCTTTTAAGAAGTACTCAAGAAGCCATTACTGCCACATGTTGTAACTGCAATGCAATAAAATACGTAGCAATGGTCAGCCATGACTTACTCTACGGCTGCGCTGCCCTGTTCACATAGCTATTTCTTAACAAAGCACTGGATTAGCTGTAGAACCAATGTAACAGTACGCAAAAGAAGAGGAAACTCGACAAAGAAATTAAAGGCGTTAACCTAGAAAACACAAACATCAATACGTTTAGAAATGAAAATGGGAATCATTCCTTAAGAATTAATCAACAATTTGAGCATGGCATTGAGTATTAGTGGTGTTATGCTTGCGAAGAAGACTTGGACTGTAATTATTCATTCGCTTCAAAAAAGAGAATATCTTTCACAGACTTTAAATAATATTCGAACTTAGAGAAAGATCAAGGCTTTGATTAGTGAGAACATCTTTAGCATCCTCTCTCTCGCTGATTTATTATCGAGTGCATGTTCCGTTTTCAATCCGGAGCTAAAGGGCACCGAATCAGATCTGGTCGTTTGCCTTCTTCGCATGTCTTTCAAATAAAATAGTTTAATAATATGAACTTAATACATTTAACATAACATTTCTGGCGCGTTAAAAAACTTATGTACGATATTATCTTAAAGTTATAGACCGAAGTGTATGAAAAAGTCAGTGTATGAAAAACAAAGTAAGCTACCGTTTTAACTGACCAGAAAAAACATTCTACTGTAAACCCTCGATTGATCAGGACAACGCAGGAACCTTTCAGAGTTACGTTTCGCCTTCAGATCGGTTCCTTTTTCGGACCACATAAAATTTACTTACGCCGACCGTGTAACTACAATAAAGGTTCCTCGGAAATGAAGATCCCATATTTGTGGTCGGTCTCTTTGAACAACGGGCGCATTAGTTCTTGTTTGGATACTAGAAAATGGCCTGTAAATTCGTTACGCCTTCCAATTAAAATGAATTTAGCGCTTTCATATTTGAATATCGATCGAACGTGTCAAGACTATAGAGTTCTTATAGGACCAAGCCATACTCAAATACGACATAGATTTTATGTTCCTCAATAAGTGGTTAAATTTAGCTCTTGGTTAATGAGAAATCTAAATTAAAAATTAGAGTAACGTAATGAAAAGTTGTTGAAAGTTCAAACTGATCTCATTAAATGGAAGGACGGAAATTTGCAGGTGCGTTGAAGGAGCTATCAAAATTATCCCATCTTTTGTAGGTCTAACAAATTTTACCCTACCAACATCATATCTTGTTGAAATAATAGGTTCCATTTTATTTTTGTCGCCGAAGTATATCGTCTTATCACATTTAAGTTTTTCATCTGTACCAATGGTGTACGGCTGATTGGTTTTTCAGTCTTGATTAAAAGTGCGAATTGTTGATCAAGCAACCACCTTTTATTATTTTTTAAATAAATATCCTAACAAAATCCTTGCTCACATATGTCTCTTTCATGCCGCCAAGACAATTTAAAATCCCCCCATGTTAGTGTTGTCGTTATTTAAACCAGATCAAATACCTACGTTTCTTATCTGCACTCACACAAGCTCTGCCTGAAGAATTTTCAAATTCAGAAAATGTACTGCAAAATAGGAATTTTTCTCTCGGCATTACTTTTGATTAACTTAGTATCACTTGGTTTTTTGGAAGCTACGCCTGGCAAAGGTTGTCGACCGGGTTTAATGATGTGCAACCGTCGAAACGGGAAAAGGCAAGTAAAGGTGAGTCACCGTCTTTGAAAATAGAAAGTGAAACTTTGAAAAGCTATACTATGGCACAGCACGTTGCTGTGATGTCGTTCTAATGTGACATAATGGGTAAGGACTAGTCTTTATTTCTTTTTCACGGGATGATTTTGACGTTAGTTTCTAAGGTTGACAAATGCCGCCAAACTTCTAATGCAATTCGGATAATAAATCGTGAATTGACCACGAAAAGTTGATCGAGACACGTGGCACGCGTATATAAATCTCAAGAAGGTCCGTACATGATAGATCAAGCTTAGTTTCATGAAGAAATATTCCGATTCCTGTGAAAAAATAATTCCTTTTGATTTCCAAATGTGTTGCGGTGAACCTATGCATAATCTACTGTAACAGTATAAAGGGCGATAAAGCAGAGATCCTATTCAAGAATGTATGGCCGCTAGATTCAGACACTAAAATTTCTGGTAGCCCTGTTTTAAACCAACATGAATCTTTTTTTTCCTCTACTTTTCAACTTGATAGCACTGGTAACACTGTAGACCACGAAATGATTGTATTCAATAAAAAAAGGCAGCCAATCAGCAAATTAGTAGGCATCAAAATGTTCATAAAAAAAGCGTTCTCCGTCTAAACTGAACGAGTGTGTAACGTTATCATATTAGTAGCCACTGACCATCACCTATCATAAGCAATGCAAGAGAGTTATCGGTTTTTTTTCCACCAGACGGAAAGCCAGAATACTTTGTGGCTACATTTTGCTGATTCAGTGGTCCCATTTGTCGCCGAAATTTTTATCTTTAGCAGCACAATTCTCGAAATTCAACTCTACTTTCGGTTGTACAGACAGGAAGTTGATTTGCCAGGTTATTTAGTTTTCCAGTGCTTTTGTGACCTAGGTTTTCTATGTAAACATGTTATTAAGAGTTCGTGAATGAGCCGATGTTCTCAATTGTAAGACCTACCGTTGATCGCTTTCACCTCACTAAGCAACATGCAGCTTAATTTATTTATTGTGGAATTTTATTCTTAGCAAGTTTGTCAAGCTTGATCCAATTCGCAAGCAGAGGTAGTTGTATATCGCCCTTAATTCAGGTTATTTTGTAACATTATGCTAAATTAAACGCCTCGTTATCACTATTGTTTCAGTTAATGCAAATATTGGTGTCACCTTTCCTACATTTGATGAACCTTCGAATTAAATCAACATCAAACACTATCCAGTACATGAAAACTAAACTCACGTTGGCTTCATTTGCGCTAACATGTAGGACCACATTGACAATGAGTTGCCGCTTTTCTGAGGCGTGTCGTGTCGGTGCGCGTCTATTTAGAGGATTCTCTGGATTAAACCTTATTTGTAAAGTTAGATTTACTAACAGTGAATCATGCTCATTGCAGCTTGGCACTCAGTTGACACAGCGACGTTTGGAGGCTGACGATGAAACATTGAAGGTATTGGTTCATGGACACGTAGTTTAGTGCGTATTTTTTCACGTATCACACGAGGTTTGTGTCTAACGCTATCAGTTTGAGTTTGGGTAACTTTTAATTTGCTGTCAATGAAGCAATTTCAGTCATCAGAGTAAGTAAAGCAAAAGTATAGATCTCACATAAATGTAATGAATACCTTGAGATCAAAATGTGCTAAAATATAACAGAATGAAAAAACAAGGAAGATGTCCTATTGTTGTTAAATAAAAATGAAGAAAGTGAACCCTCGATGAGGACCACATCATGCACTCCAGATTAATGCTGCAATGCAATGATGCTTGATGTCTAATGCTTGTATTATCAGTTTACTCCAAGATTTATTAATTGCAGACCAGGTTGATATTTCTATTTCCGTATATCCTAGACAATCGCTAACGACATCCAAGAGTTTGGAGACAGTAAGTACTTGGGTGACTGACAGAATGACCAGGAGAGAGCCAAACAAAGAACGAACTACTTCCTTTGACTCCTCGTTTTAGAGAGCTAGTTTCCTCAAAGCATATATATGAAAAAATATGAAACATTTATGTTAAACATTAAGATTAAAAGGATTGACCCTCGATTTGCAGTCTTCCAACCGAACAAGCTTTATAAGAGTCAATAAAGATATCCTAATGTCGTTATGTCATGTTGGCATATTCTATGAACCTAGATAACCGAGGGGGCCCAGATAGGCCAAACTTTTTGTTGATGGTGACTGTCATCGTTACCTCAAATCTTACATGTATTTTACGAAATTAGTTAAACGTTTTCGTATCTTACTCACCTTTGAAGTCGTTCGTCGGAATGTCGCACAAACGGTTGCGTAGCTGAGGAGACCACTCTTACCCTTGGACTGTGTTACCTATGTACACAATATCAGATCTTTCTCCTCTATTGGCTACTACACTTTGATGTTATCTAATCAAAACATTCTTCGGTTATAATCCATAAATTAACAACAGTAATAGTAGATCGTTCAGTGTTCTTGTTCAGGTTGGATTAATCCTGTAAAGTTGGTTTTTCTAGGTTTAATTGCAACCGAAGGATAACACAAGACCACTTTTCATTTTTTTTCGCTTATAATTGTAAAACTCGCTATTTTATGGGGGTTTTTTTCTTGTTGGGGAACCCTCAGGGACCTTGGAATAGGAAGAGAGACACTTAAGTCGGAGTCATTAGTTATTAAACTACAGCTGGGTATCTCCTGAGATAAAGAGGCCTAAATGTTCCCTAACCATTTAATGAAATTCGTAAATCAAACCCGTAAATGTAATGATCAGATCAACGGAATCAAAGTTTTCAGTTTCTTCCGATTCCACTCACGGAGCCATCGCTGACAATCCATTTAAAGCTAGGGTATCGGTTTTGCAAGCACAAGCGGAATACTTAACTATTGAAAACGTGACATGCGAAAGTCTGGATGAGCAATGTAGAAATGGTTCCAACACTAGTGAAGACCAAGTGTCAACCGGATGATCAGGACTTGTTTACGTACTTTCAGCATGTGAACGCCATGTCGAGTCTCTGCATGGCTAAACACCAACAAGACCTTTCACATTACCTTCAGGAGTAAGACAAGAAATTCAACCATCTCCTTCAATTTCCTCTCAGTCATTCAATGAGAAAAAGCAAAAGGTCAATCTTGAAGAACCCAATAATCACTACTAAAACAACTTGGCAACATCCATTGAAACAATATGACGCGGCGATTTTTTTTGCCATTTTGTAATTATGATACATCAGTAGAAGTAAAAAACGAATTACATATACATTAATATGATATGGCCAAGATTTAGCATGAGGCGAGGAAACCCGTAGGGAAACGAAGAGGGTTATGCGAGTTACAGGCTCCTCCTATTTAAAAAAGTGAGGTATCAGTTTTATGGCGTGATTTAGGTGCAAAATATTTTAGGTTAAAAAGGAAAGGGGACGCACATAAAAAAAGAACAACAATAGCAGATACTCAAACAAACATACTTAAGCAGCGTGAGAAAAGTAAGAAAAAAATAAAAATAGTAATACAAAAAAAATTAATAAATAAATAAAGAAGAGTAAGAAGGGAGTCAACTTAGGAGTAATGTTCACAATTTATACTTCAACATGGAAAGTGTGCCAACATTTTAGATTTCTACATTAAAATAATTGAAAAAGTTAGGTCCTTGGAAACATAAAGCAAACTGTTTGATATTTGTTCTGTTAGAGGGTATGTAAGACGAATCGCCGATCGCATAGTTTAGTGTAATAGCAATAATTGCTACTCGAAAACCAAAATAGTTTTTTAAGAGCATCAAGAAGACGGCTTATCTTGAACAAAAACATGATCTTTCCAATTTGAAATCGATATATACTGTATAAATTAGGGGTTTTCAACTGCTTAAATGTAGGTTCAGTATGAGCGTTAAAAATACTTCTGGATATAATTTGTACCACCTTTTTCTGGAGTAGGACAATACGTTTCAAGGTGGATGGATAAGTGGAGCCCCATACCGTAATGCAATCGAGTAAGTAGGGATGAACAAGACTATAGTACAAGGTACATAAAGTTGAAGTAGGTAGGAAGAGACCATAGCTTTGTAGATTATACCAATGAATTTTTAAACTTTCCTAGCGATATTAGCAATGTGCGGTTTCCATGACAAATTTTCGTTAAGAATAACGCCTATAGACATAGATTCTTTAACTTGGTCAATAGTACATTGGGTAGTCTCTAGTTTAATGTTAAGATTTTCCTTTTTCTGTCTTGGTTTGAAAACCATGAAATTTGATATAATTATATTCATCGAAAGTTCATTGGCTTTGCACTAGTCTGTTAAGTTAAGGAATTCTTCATTCAAGGCTTTTTCGATAAAATTCAAATTTTTATGAGAGAAAACGATGTTTTTATCCTCAGCAAAAATAATGAAGTCTAAAAACCTTTGAGACATCATACATATCATTGATGTAAATTAGAAAGAGCAGAGGACCAAGAATGGAGCCCAGGGGGGCACCACACTTGATATTTGAATAGGATGAATCAAATCGATTTAAACTGAACAATATGTTGTCTATTGTTGAGATAGTCTTCAAGCCAGTTAAATGCAACACCGCGAAAATCATTGTGTAGAAGCTTCTCAAGTAAAATTTCATGGTTTACCGTGTCAAATGCCTAAATATACCTACTGTTCTCTCATTATTATCAATAGCAGAATAAATTTTGTCATATAAAAGAGCTAAGGCATATTCAGTTGAATGCTGTTTACGAAAACCGAATTGATTATCGGATAGTATCTTATATTTACTCAAATAATCAACAATACGATTTTGGACAAGTTTTTATAAAATTTTAGAGAAAGAGGGAAGAACAGAAATAGGTCTGTAATTTGAAAATAATGACTCATCACCAGTTAAACAATGGAACGACACGAGCAATCTTTAGCTCTGCTGAGACAACTCCAGAACTTAACGATAAATTAGAGATATGAGTCAAAGGATTTCTTATTGAAGAAATAGCTTCTTTGAAAAGACTTATGGAAATATTATCGAAGCTTGTACCTTACCCAGAGCGCAAAGTGTTACAAATATTGACTACTTCATGCTTAAAAATTTCAGGACCTCATCGAGCAGCCTCCAAGAGCATTTTACATTCGTTTTTGCCTCTTCAAGCTTCTTCTTAAACACTTGTATAGCACGTTCTTTCTTCAAATTGATTTTAAAAGTGCTTAGATAGCCAGGGTTAGGATGTTGTGTAGCCTTTGGCCAAAACCTTTTTCAAAGGAAAGCATTGGTTAAAAACAGCAGCGTACCTCTCAAGAAAGCTTTTATAGGCTACGTACGGGTCAAAATAACCGGGAAACTCCGTCTAGTTTACATTTTCAAGTTCAGACTTAAATCATGCCACATTTTGTTGAGTTTTGAGACAAAAGGTAAGATACCTGTTGCGATCACCAAAAGCATGCTAAAAGCCCAATGTAATAGCAAAAATCAGAAGATGATTAGAAATATCATAAAATAAATATCATAAGAGACCACTAATGCACTGGCTAAGCGGGTCATTCGTGAAGATATCAATAAGTGAGGCCTTGTGAGAAGTTATTCTAGTTGGGCGAGTAATTAATGGAAAAAAAAATCCATGAAAACATTACATATAAAAAAATTTGCCCGTACCATAGTGACACGGGTAGCTCTATAGATTTACATTCCAGTCACCCATTGAGAAAACGGTCTTGTTCTCTTTGAAATATCGTTTACTAATTGATCTATTTCATGTATAAACTCTTGAAAATTTTGGTGTGGTGACCACTAAATACCACCTATCATTATGTTTTTTTCCTTGGCTCTATTGATTTCAACAAATAGCCACTCAGCACAATTGCCAATAAAAGCCAAGTCAGAGCGATGTTTGAGTTCTAAATGTCTGCAATGTAAAAACCGACACCTCCGACGGTCCTACTGACTCGGTTTTTAGGAATAAAATTAAATTATATGAGGCGAATCACTTGCATCATTTAGCCAAGTCTCAGATAAACCAACAACAGAGAATTTCATCGCAATATCTCCCCAAAAAATTAGAAATTTTATCCAGCTTATGAAAAATTCTAGGATTTTTTAAATGGAGGAGGGCGAGATTTTCATAATCATTATTAAAATTTACTCGATCATGATTTTCGAACATCTTATACTTAAAGCTACCCTCTGTGTAATATTCACAATCCAAGTTTTGATGGTAAAAATTAACGTCTGGATCGAGATTATAGCGTGAAACAAAGTTTCTATAGAAAGTATACAGCAGAGGATTAAATTTTAAACTGAGAAGCCTCTTAGGTTCAAACTTTATAAAGCCATTGTATATTTAAAAAATTATTATCGGAAAGTTGTGATCATCTAAAGTACTGAAGGGTAATAACTCTAAAGTATTACTTTATTGAGTCAGCTCGCCGGTTTTTCTCGAATAATTAATCGATCAAGAACAAAGTAAGCGATCTTCTGCTTCTTTTGCAACTCTCAACTTCGGTATCAAGGGTTCGCGGTTTATCAGTGTAGCAACCGCTAAATCCTCGCTGATATGGATGCCACTTAGTTTTTCATCGCGTGTCTTGCGTAGTACTTGTTCTCTCTTTCCAGTCGTGTAATTTGCTAACGATGGTGCGTGGCTGACTTGAATTTTGGGCTTGCGTTCGACTCTGTGCGCTTTCTCCATGTCGATGTCAATGCCAATCTTGTTTTTAATGGCCCGGCAACCGACTATTAAGCCTTAAATAATTCCCGAACAGTTCCCAGGGTGACATACTCATCTGCACCATGGTCGTCTCAGTAATGACGGCCTGATCTTGTTCGCTTTGTACTGGGCTATCTGGCTTTGAACTCCTTCCTTCTCTTCCCATTGGCAAATTAGATTAAAATAAAAGGTAGAGTAACGGAAAAAACACTATAGATGTTTAGAAAGGAACAGTAGAGAGTAAGTGATAATTAAGTAACATCATTCGGCAACGGAGTTACTGATATCACGTCCGCACGTCAAGGCTTAAGCCTTCTGTATGTGAATGTCGATAGCTACCTCAGATTAGTTTCCTTCGCATCTTTTCAATGTTGTCAGCGATGTTGAAAGGTTGCTCAAAGATTCATCGTAATTTCTTTGAGATGTAAACTGTCCGTAAGCATTCTCATTAGGAAAATAGAGCCAGAGTGTTTGGATCTTTGACAGACAACACATGTTCCCAGCTTCCCCCCCCCCCCCAAGTGAAACGTTGGGGGGAGGGTACGGCTACAAGTAGGTTAACACCTTTATTGAAATGAAAAAGACAAACTTTTCTACTATGGATATCTGGCAGAAAAACGCAAACACGAGGTATCATAAGTTGCAAGGACATGTATTTTCAAACAAAAAAGTGCAGTGAGAAAATGGACAGTTGATGAAAAAACCTCGAGGTTGAAAGTTCTAACGACTTAATATACGGCGGGACAGTCTTGAGGAAAATCCGAGCATTGTCATTTGTTCGCTGCGGTCACTCCTCACTGCCATGATTTCGGGCCAGTAATTCTCAGTACGGCCCTTGCGCTCGGTTAGTAAGAAGTTACTTTTTGCGGCGCCTGGTTAGTTGTCTTCCTTAGCACAGCCTTGTTAGAAGGCTATCACATGAAGTCTCGAAAGTCAAACACAAATTTACAGCAAATTAGGGAAACAACGTGCCGTGCCCACTTGGCAGTTGAACTAGACTGGCGCTATGCAACACTTAGGAAAACTTCCTCGAAATAAAAATATTCAAAAAAGAAAACCTGAAAAAAGGATTATGAAACAAAATTTTGCTCGAAAATACCTTGCTAATTCTGCGATCAGCCTTGCGCGATTTCCTTAAGTAAGGCTGGATAACTCTTTGTGACTCTCTCCTCTATCCAACGCCTAAAAAAAGAGCGATGCCCGGAACAGGTGTCCAGGTTCGATTGCTGGAAGGTGAGTTTAGAATTGGCGCTCGATGTAATATCAAATATATATTACGGCCTCAACATTGGTATTGCTGACAGTCTTTAAATGATAGCTGAAGTATCAAAAGGATCACCTTTTTCTCGACTAAGCTGTTTTATCCTGCGAACACCTTCCCCCAACAAATGCCTTAGAAGATTTATTTCAATTTCCGAGAATTTTGTAACAAGAACTCTCAATTAGGGAAGAATGTTCCAAACTCAGCTAAGATTCTTTGTTTGAATCAGTGACTTCAAATGGCACACCGTTCATTATGTGTCCTCAACTCTAGTTTATCTTATCTATCTCATTCCGTTTCCAGTTCTTCGCTTATTTCACTCTTTTTTTTTCTTTGCGTCTGTTTCGTCTGTAATCTGACCTTTGATCCTTTCCCCAATATTTTTTCTTCACTATTATTTTTTCCTCTCTTTCCTACCCTTATTCTTTTTGCTTGTTTTGTTTTCTGCTTATTGGCTCCACCAAGTAACAGTTGAGTGACGTCACGTTGTGCACAACAGCATCAATGTAACCCTGCGTGAGATTGCCTTTATGAAGTTAAGTCTCACAGCGATGACTAACTGATAAGAGAAATTAAAATTGCAAGATGGGAACAACATTGCATTACGTTTAGACTTGCGTAACGAACGCCTGAGTGTGTTACATCCACACTAGTATCAGTTTCCAGCCCGTCTTCAACGTCTTAGGCAGGGAACCGTTGACCTACAGGTATAAATAATTGAATTGTCCTCTTTCAAGTCTACAATGAAGCACAAACGCCTGTCGCTAATTACGGAATGTTCTATTGTAAACAATTTCGCTAGGGGAAATAGACGAGAATTTGAAACGAAAGCTGGGATGAAAACCAATCTGCTGCCGTCAGCTATGCAGGGTTTGTTTACTGTATTGATTTCCTTATCGCATACGGCGGTAACTGCTAAATTTGCCTTAAATGCCGGATTAAAAGATAGGATGCCTAATTAGATTTTGTTGCGACGTAAATGAATTAAATAAAATGGTCCCGTTTTAGTCTTAAACTATTCCTCTATCTGATACAAATATATCAAATTGAAACGAACTTGCTTTCTAATGCGCTTCTCATGAGCAAAGTTCATTTTCCCCAACTCGGGACACTCGTTTCCGTCATTTTACGACTATCAACGCTAAGTTATCGCGAATTTTCTAGAAGAAAGAGGCAAGTCTGGAAAAAAAACTTCATCACGTTTCTAAGTTCGCTATTACGTATCCCTAGGCAAAATATGAAGGTTTTCAATTTTTTCGACCATGTGCCACATTTTTAGACTCAGTCAACTCAAACATACACTCTTACTTTTGCAGATACATAAAACCATTGAAGTTTCAAAAGAGAGAGACTCTGATGGCGACCGAAAGAATTGAAGATTAATTACCATCAAGATTTTGTTAGGCATTTATTGCAATGGGCTCACCGAGATGTTCTTAATTAATGCGAGGTGGATGTTTTTCATTTATCTTAAAATCTCAAACAAACTGCTACTACACGGTCCATTGAGGAACCCTCTTTGGCATATAAAGCTATCTTTGCATACAGTAATCGTAGTGCAAGTGAAAAGGGAGATAAGCTTTCCACGGAAATAGGAATTTTCTCCAAATTACCCCGACATCATTGAAAAGGAATAAAATGTAGACCTCCTTTGTTTCTAATTCCTTTATCAAAATGCCGCTATAAAGAGTTTTTCCCGTTATCTAATTGTATACGAGTGTTTGAAAGGAAAAAGTAAAGATTTATAGCTTGAAAACAAACATTAACTTCCTTAACCCCCACAAATAATCGCAGCTACTTTAATACTCGTTCTGATATACTAGATTTTGACGTCAAGAATTAAGAAGTTCATATAAAAAATAAATTAAAGACAAAAAGTTAACTGTTTTTAGCATTTGACTGATAAAACCGATGGAAATCAGGAAATCTTTAGGGAAAAAAAACCCTTTAATTACTGCGCTCAGCCCCATCAATCAATATGTTATCAAACCTTTTGCTACAGCAATTAGAAAGAACATTATCTGTTCGATGGACTTAGTATCAGTATGATTTATTTCGCTCGAGTATCTCTTGTTGCCGTCAAAGTTATGAAAGCTTTTCCGCCTGAGGGTGGTTTGGGCTTGAAAGTGAATCTTCAAAGAGCATCATCAAGGTACATCTGGAGGACATCTCAAAATAAAAGAGGAACGTTTGATAGCAATAGCAAGACAATCAAGCTTCGTAAGCTTCGTCGGTACCAATCACTCTGGTTCTAAACTCTGTACTCCTGATTTTCTTATATTTGGCTCAATATGATTAGGATCTGCATTTGTCTATTGATAATTTTGACTATTCTGCAAGTTTTATCAGTAGAGTCTGTGGAGTCAGAACCAGCTGAGATGCGAAAATGTCGACCAGCTTCAATGTACTGCAAAGGAAAAAAGCGTTTCTTTCATAGAAAAAAGGTTAGTCTTTCAATCATCTACTTACACTCGAAGAGATTGGGTAAATTTCTAGAGAATTGATTACACTGAAATTTGGTGCCATGTCCATCGTGTAAATACTTCAGTCGCCGTTTTTAATAAAACTGAAAATTTTATCTCACTGAAAATTTTATCTCACTGAAAATTTTATCATCAGCTAGAATGAAACTTTTTCTGTAACTGCTGATTTTTCTGCCGGCTCATACTTTACAGAAACTATTTCACTCTTGCTACAATAGGAACGTGCTATGTAAATGTATATCACTGTGAGTTTTGAAATTCTCTTCCTCAAAACGATTCAATTCGACCTGTACGCGAAAATAATTAATTAAGCGGCAACGATCCATTCGTAAATGTATCCTTGACTCTCATAACTGATTTTTAAGGCAGTATTTGATCTAACATTGAAAAATGTAGCTGCCTGTTTAGACGATGAGAAGAAAGTTGAATTGCAGAGTATTACACATTGTCGCCAAGGGGCGCATTGTTCGAATTCTCTTTTCAGCTTGGGTATTTTTAAAATTGTCATGGCTTTTGTCTCAGTTTTCCATTTCTTTGCTTGAAAAAAACTCCTTCCACTCATACCTGAGGGATAATGTCATTAAAATTGCCAAGACGGTGGATGGGTTGAATAAATCAGAGACAAACACCATTCAAGGGCAAGATCCGTATTCGGGACTTTGAATGGTAAAAGAGAGTGACCGATTGCGGAGCGTGCAGTTTTCAGTGCACCGTATTTAGTCCAATTATTTAAAATAACACAAGGGCATAAGGAATCATAAAAGCTTCAGCGATTCTGAGCCAACTAAGTGCAAAGGCTAGATCACCTGCAGAACATATCAACAATTAAGGTCAAAACCCCTTTAACTATTACGCAATAGTTTACATGTATTTTGAATTACGAACATCCAATTCTAGATCAGAAAATCAAAAGTTACTAAAACAAAATTTACCCCGATAAATAACGGCGCGTGTGTATTCTCAGCATTCCTCTAGCGATTTGTTGATATTTCTGAGAGAGTGAAAAAATGCAAATGTGAAACAGTTCTTAAAACAATGGAATTAGGCTAACACGATATGACTTTGGACATTTTTTACTAAGATTCAAAGATAGATTTGGTAATCGCCAAATATTTCATGTTCGAACGTTCCAGTATTTTAATTTTCTCATGTGCTTAAGCCATCAACTTTTAAGAGGCAATAATATCAACAACGCACAGCCCCCAACAGACTCCACAAAACGTGATTTTGTATTGAAATGTTCATCTTCTTGCAGGTTGAAAATACTAGTAATCTGTTTGGGCGAGTATGGAGAAGAAATCAAAGAATATCTGGATCTATGCTTACTGGAATTTAGCTTTACAGATACACTTTTGGATAGGAAAACTGACTAGATTCAAGTAGAAATAAAAATTAATAATTGTCAAAAAGTCCTTACTGTGTTCACGCATGTTTTTTTCAAAAAAGTATGTTGTGTTTTTTTTCCAGTTCCTGCTTTGAACAGATTTACAGATTTACAGCAGACATATACATACATGCTTTTAAGCATGTACTTATATGATTGCAATAGACTTAAATCTTAATTAATAAATAAAGAAGCCTTGACTATCCTCTGTTCTGTTGTAAATCACGCAGGGAGCGGTTAAAGCGCGAAAGAAGTGTAGGGGGAAACACGAGACGTAAGTGCTCTAGCCGCTTCCTGCTTGCCTGAAGCTTTTTAGTTTTATCTTTCAGGATTTTTGTCTCTGCTCACGTTACAGTAGCGTAAATTACTGCGCTTGGCATTTTTGCAAACCTTTGCTCGCTTGTTCCGAAATTTCACTTTCAATTGACGAAAGAAAAGCTAGAAAAAAGTCTCGGAAAAGGTCGGACATATTACAATTTGGCAGATGGCGTGACAGCTTTAGCTCAGTTCTATACTCTATACTCCAATAGAGCACGCTCTTTTAACCAAAGACAGCACGTGTTATATCCGAACTTCATTATAAATAAAGTTAGAAAGTATAAGTTTTTCCTTAAACTGCATAAATGAGGACTAAGAGGGGGTTGAGGTATGCTACATCATATGATTTTGGTTCTAACATTTCTTTTGAGCGTGAGAAAATTCTAAAATGAGGATTTGGGCGATTTCCTTATCCACGGATAAGGTTTCTGTAGGCATCACGCTCAGTGGAGCCGTAGCTTTTCGAAACTTACATCAGTCAAAGATCCAATCCAAAATTCCCTTTGAAAGTATCAATAGCATGATTGAATGGATTCTCCCCAGAAATGTATCAAAGACTAGGCTAATATCCCGAGAGTAAGATTTCATGGAATCAAGGGCGATCTACCCTAATGGAACGAATAGTGTAGCTCCACAATTAACTGTCATTGCTGAACTCTGTTCAGTTAGCCATTCAAAAACAACGCAGATATTTTTAGAGTGTTGGCATAACACTTGTTGACAGGGTAAAAATATGCCCCTACTTAAAGTCAGCTTCCCGTAGATTACTTGTGTTTTCATCTAGTCTACCGAATGATGCAAAGTGCTGTTAAGTCACACCTGTCAATGCCACCCACCACAGCTAAACAAGAGAGGAAGTGTTTGCATAGTCTCATATAAAGACGAGGGTGGTTGAAGGACTTCTGAGCAGATTTTGTCTGCGGTTCGAGGATTGAATAACTTTCGAGAATTCGCCGAACCTCGCGAGTTTTTGTGTTACTCCCAAAACCCTAGCATTTCGTTTTAATACGACCGACATCATTTTCTTATTGAGAACTTGTATCCCTTTATATCAACAGTTTCCTACTATTCGCGGCCAAAATGCTCTCTAAAGCCTAGAAAAGTTTAGAAAAGGCGTACTTCAAAGGTGCTCCGAATTTTTAGTTCAAAATTTCGCTTTTCAAGGGGATAGGTGTAGAGGAATGTTCACCTTCTAGAATATTCGGTTGTTTATCTGGTTATGCTTGAGTCATGTGCCTATTTATGCATGCTGATTTATAACCAGGATAATATGTAATTATTTAGAATGTTCCAGACTCGTGAGCTTGACTACGAGAGATCTTATCAGCTGTTGTTGCTGTCTCTCGGTAAGCTGTAAATGTTGTGTTTTATGATAATCCTAATTAGCTTAACGTACTATTTATGTATGGGAGGGCTAACGACGTATGCAAGACGCGGGGAAAGTTGTGGGACTATACTTTTTAATTTTCGGTCATTAGTAGGGTTACTATGGCCAGCCTAATGGCATTAAGTTGTATGACTAAAATTTGTTTTCTAAAATAATGTCATGTTGGCAACAGGTTTTTCTTTCATCGTATCCATATCCTTTCTTACGTAACTGTTATCTAGTGTTGCAAACCGCTTTTTATATAGGATACCCTTGAGGTAGCACCACACCCTTGTTCGGGGTACAGGTTTAGGGGGTTTTCGTGTCTGGCTTTTCTGTAGGTTTCCTCAATCCTAGATGATACGGTGGTTTGGCCGCCAAACGGAAATAGATAGCATTATTTTGTGTATCCTTTAAAGAGTGAAGGCTAATATGGAAATATGTGGATGATACAACACTAACTGAGGTGGTCCAAAGGGGAGGACAAAGTGCAATGCAAGTCGCTGTTACGGCTGTGGAGCAATGGTCTATCACAAACAAGCTTCAGCTGAACCCAGATAAGTGTAAAGAAATGCTGATTGACTTTAAAAGAACGCAACACCAGTTTGATGCGATTACAGTCGACTCTAAGGAACTTGAACGTGTAAACAGTGTTAAAGTGTTTGGAATGACAATAGCCAGCACCCTACGATGGAATTGTCATATTTCTGACGTACTAAAAAAGGCTAATAAGCGTATGTTCTTTCCCATATTGCTTAAGCGCGCAAAAGTTCCGGCTCGTGATATCATTAGTCTCTATCTTACTTGTATTAGACCTGTACTCGAATATTGTGCTCCTCTTTACCATCATGCACTGCCTGATTATTTAAGCAACGACATAGAACGTGTTCAAAAACGCGCCCTATCTATAATTTCACCAGGCTTATCATATCTCGACAGCCTTTCATTGTTTAACCTAAACTCACTGAAGGATAGACGTATCAAGCAATGTAATAAATTTTTCGAACCAATTGTGTTCAATACCGAGAACAAGCTTCATCATTTTTTGCCACCAAAGAACCATATTACTCATAATCTTAGAGATCAACGTCAGTTTGTTAACCCAATAATGCACACCAAGCGTTTCTCCCTGACATATTTACCAGCCATGTGTAGACAATAGGTCTGTGTATTATTCTTGTATTATTCTTGTAAATAATATGCTCTGTAAATATAACTTATAATTTTAGCCAGTATTGTATTGGAAATAATCAAACAATTCAGCCTCATTAGGCTGCTATGTGATTTTTAATAGAGCTATCTATCTATCTATCTATCTATCTATCTATCTATCTTTCTATATGTTGCAGACTATAAATGACTACTGAAATTTCTGGAGGACATGATTACAATCCAGTTTGACTACATCATGCTAGCGAAACTATCCAAAGTTCGCATGCACTACACTCCTTGGATTACAGCAGAGTTTAAGAGCCATTTTCCGAGAAAATCGAAATCGCAAGACACTCATGAAAAAGACGAATTTTTTTTCCTTTTGCCAAAACATCCCTTTTAGTAACCTTATTGAAGAAAAATAATTTTGGGTTCAAGCGATTCATTGTACGGGAGAAATTACAAAAAGTTTGAAAAATCGTTTTTTTAGCTGGTTTTTCGTACTCAAAACAACAGAATCCGACCGCAACTTCGAGAAAACGGTGAACGCATAAGAAACACTCCCTTATATCGAAACTTCAGCCGAATATTATTTCGTACTTACTCTTTAATTTCCTGAAAGAAATTTGAAGAAAGAAGTTTTTAACATTTACAATCGACAAGTTTAAAAAGGTCAAATTTGTATATCTGGTAATCTTAATAAATGAAGGCGAACTTCAAGTGTTGTAAAAGGCCACTGGTATAAGCCGCTTCCTGGTAAAACCCACATAGAATAAAATCTTGGCTATTGAACTAAATTATTGGAAAGTTTTAGCTCTGGAAATCCTATACAGTCCTCGCACTAAAGTAAGCAATGTGAGTATCTTAGTAAATAAAATTTATGCAAATTAGACGGCCCGCTGAATGAATTCATATTTTTAACGCAAAGTTTTGTTGAACGAACAACTTACCATTGCTTGTTGTGAGAGAAGTTAAATCCATCTCTAAATCTGTTTGTCCTGTGAAGTGGCAACTCATCCATAACTGATTTTGACCAAAATGTGTCCAGCAACTTCAGCGCTTGGGCTATCTAAACACTTCCCACGCAGCGCTTATTGCGCATCATCAGACGCTTCTGTAATAATGAAACCCGTTTATGTTTTGGTCCGAAAATAACATGCAATGATGAAAATTAACCACTGCTCAAACCACACAGTTAACAAGGTGAGTATTACTCTTATTGAGCGAAAAATCAGTTAGTAGACGGGATAACAAGATCATATGACGCATAATTTAGCAAACGTGCAGAGATTGGTCACGCTAGCTTGTCACATACGACGGTACGTACTATACTTCGTACACATTGTAAACAGACAAAGAAGCAATTACAGCTGTCCCAGTGAAAATATGTACAACCGCACGTCTGTTTATAGATCATCAGTGTAGAAATATTCGACTCTTGGAACAATATTAATATAACATTTCCAGGTCAAATGCTCCTGGAATAAAATTTATATATTGTCACGAACTGTTTCGCCACTAACTATTGCACGTGCCTCTACGATTTTATTTTTAATTGAATTATTCCCGTCTAGTATTACGAAATGTTGAACAGCAATAGAGGAGTTTGTCTCGTTTGTTGGGAGAGCTTTGTTTTTTGTCATGGCTTCGGCAACGTTTCCAGTTTTTCTGGTTTATTACACGACGCCACATCCTGTGGTTTAAGCAGCGATCATCCGGGCCAAGTTGAAGTTCTCGCTTTAAGAAATTGTACAAGGGACATATCGAGGCACTGCGAGCTGTATGGATTAAAAGCAGATACAGTACTTGACACTGAATGGAAGCTGTTGTTCCCAAGGGTAGGTAAATCTTATGTACTGTCTTACCGTCTTACGTAAATCTTCGGGTGCTTTCCATTCAGCCCAAAATTCCGGAAGTTTCGGTTAGAAATCAAATGGAATGGACCATTTCGGTTCGGTCCTACCAGAATATTTGGGAACGCCTTTGAGGCTGGTCCACTTTGACCGGTCAGGTTATTTCGGTCGGTCAGGCTATTTCGGTCGGTCGAACCGAAATGTCCCCTTCCATTTGACAAGATTATTGTCCCCAGTACTTGCGTACCGCTCTTTTGTATCCT